GTTTCAATTATCATTTTATGGCTTTATTCGTGTTTAAGTTATGCGTATATAAAAATTTGAGCAGGTCCCATGTATTTGTAATCAAATGGAACCAGAATGAACTGTGGTATGGTGGGTGTGGATATTTTTATATATTTTGAGAGTACAATAATGTGATTGATTGTATTTATCGTGGAGGGAGAGAGAAAGGGGAAAGAAGAAGATAGACATAAAATGGAAGAGAGGTGGGGGTGTAAAACGAGTGGATGGGGTCTGCACCGTACAGGCCGTGCTTCTTGGCCAGCAACGGCAGAAGATAAACACAAAAGAGTGGAAGGCGTGGGGGGGATCTTCAATAAACATGGGACCCACCTGAGTCCCCAACTGTGCTCCTGGCCCCACCACACTTGTCTTCTTGCGCAGGAACTCCCTATGTTCGCTAAGACGCTAACACGTGAAAACTGAACCCGCCTCCATTTTTTAATTTTATTTTTAATTTTTTTGTCATATTTCTTTTACATTATATTTATTTATTTGTTTATTATAAGAACATGTTTAAAAGACAAAATTATATTTTTAATCTATTTAGTATTCATAGATTGATTATTTAAAACTTGCAAAAAAATCGGGGGCGTGAGTGAAGAAGTGGAGTTAGGATGAACATTCAAGTCTGTGTCATGAGTGGAAGAATTTGTGAAGCATCCATTTGGAGCGCCACTTGACGGTCGCCACCATCCCAAGCCGCCTTCAATCCCCACAACTCTGATGTGATACTTTCGCTCTCTCCACAGAATATACTCCTAACGTATCAGAGCGGGAAGTGGGCAGCCTTCTGAAATTCCCCCCGCCTCCTCACAAGGCTGCCCACTCCCCACACCCGTGTTCGCAGCCCAAGCGCCCTCAATATCTAATTTAATCCTAATCATAACTTACTTGTAAAATAAATTCTAATCATAAATATGAGTTATTTGTATGGTGCTTATTTTTTTTATTTTATCTTTATTGAAATTCGTAAATCATAAATATTAGTTATTTGTATAGTGCTTTTTTTTTTAGTTTATCTTTATTGAATTCAGAGTAGAAATAGAGATAAAAAAAACATTAAAAAAATTAGAGGCTTTTATTAATTTAATGCATATGCGTAAATGTGCAGTGACTTGTATTGAAAACTAGTGTGATACTCCCTCCGTTCTTTATTATAAGAGACAAATAACCAAATTACGTTGATAAAAAAAACAGTTAAAATTAGTTGAGGATAATTAATGTGTAAAAAGTATAATGTTTTTTCCAACAATGCCCCCATTAATAAAGAGAGAGTATGAGAGAGAACAATTAAATTATTAAAAGATAGAGAAGTGGGAGGGAGAGAGAGTATGAGTTGGAGACAAAATAAATAGGGGTAAAATAGGAAATCAATACAAAAAAATAGAGACAACTTTTAAGTATCTCTTATATATGAGAACATGTCATAAGCATCAAATGTCTCTTATAATAAGTAACAGAGGGAGTACTATACTCCTCCACTCCTATTTATAAATTTTAAATTGGGGGAAAGATGGGATATGTTTTATAAACTTCAATTTGATATTTGTTTGTATTTTTTAATTTTATTATTAATTATTTATTCTCTCTCTTTTATCATGATCTTTTTATCATATTTTTCACACTTTTTTTTATTTTTTCCTCATTTATTATAAAAATACATTCTAACTTACTAATTAATTTTAATTAAACAAATTAGTTATTTAAACTTTATAACAAGAATTCCACAGAGTAATTATAATTGCTTGGAACAGATTATTAATGAGGGATGTCCCTATTGTCGGGAGAGTGTGTGCGTAACTAAAGATGCGGGGCAATTAATGGGAGCATATTACGGTCTTTGACCAAAGCCACCCACCAACGCCAGTAAATGCGGATTAATTATGTTGCCATCATTTCCAAACCATGTTCCCATGGCTGTACTATGGCAAAAAACACCAACCAAGAAGTTACTAGTTGATCCGATGTTTAATACAATAATTATATAACTAATTTGACTCAATTAAAAAAATTAATTAAGTTTATTATTTATAATAAATATATATTTTAAAAAAAATATTTTTACTAATAAAATATATTAACTAAACACCTTTAATTTGAATTCATTACGAAGACAACTTTTAAAAAATAGATAAATATAAGAAACAAAATGAATTGAAATTTTATATTAAGGATTAAAATAAAAATGAAACAAACTCTTATATTAAGGATCGAAAGTAATACAAAAAAATAGAAATTTAAGTTTTGAAAAATATATTTGTTTGAAGGGTTTTAATTTTAACATTTTTAACATGAAAAGAATTAATTTTAAGCTCAAAATAACTTCACTTCGCTGTGGGTTATGAGGGGAAAAAACCGTACACCAATTAACAAACAATTAATAAACTTTTTATTGAAAAAAAATAATGAACTTGACAAAATAACCTTAAAAGTTAAGCGAGCGGCAGTAAAAGGCGGAGGGAGAAGAAGACGGGACTCGACACTCAAGGGATGAAGTAGGAACAAGGGACAGAGCAGAAGGCACCCACAAACGGGGGCTGATATGAGCCCACCATCAGAAAGCAGTTCCACGTCATCACCTCATTTTTTATTGGGTCAACACAAATAATAATGATGACGATGATAATTAATTCCAAATGCGAAGCAGGAAAGCGAGAAAATAACAATAACAACAATAAGTAATAGCAAGAGGGGGCAATAATATGAAAATAATTGAAAGGCGAGGACGGAAAATAGACAGGGACCACGTGAGCATAGGACTGAGCACGTTGATTGTAATTTATTAAACAGAGAGGGTCTTTGCCTTTTTTTACTCCTATATGAGAACATTTTTACCCTCATGAAACGTAAACGCCATTTAAAAAGTACTTGCAGACTCCCCCCGAATCACGCTGCACTGCTTCAAGACCCCTTCTCTCTCATTTTTTTACAGAGAATAGCAATTCAGAATTTTACGAAGAACAGGTAACATTAAAATATTTATAATGACTAAAATATCTTTCTCATGTAATATTGATTTTGTAGGGCATTTTAATTATATGCACGACATCACTCACAAGTTAGGTGTAAGCTGCCTAACACTGTGAATGCTGTCGTCGTTGTCGTTGATACATGATTGCTCCAATGCTCTGTCTGGGTTCCTTTATGGGGGAAAATTAACTTAAAACAAGATAGTACCATGGCCCCGCGAAAAGAAAAGACAATACCAAACGTTAAGTTGCATATTAAGGATTCCCCCCCCCCCTCTTTTTTTGACGAGATATAATGTTTTTCGCCTTCTTTTGGATTCCGTAGTGCCCAAGATCCTGACGATTGGCTTTCACATCTTCTGGAGCTAAAATAGTTCAGCATGGCTTCGTGTTTTCCTTACAAACCAGACTGGACTCTGGGAGGGACCTATTTCTATCACTAGAAAATTTATGTCCAGGCTTCAAACCTACTGGTCCAAGTATGAAGAGCACTTCGAATGCCCAGAGTGTATGAATTTTGAGTTATAAAATGATAATAATTGGAACGAAAAGATATAACTACTCTAATGCTATCTCTGATTTTTAATAAAAGAGTTATTCAACTTATTTAAGTAAATTTAAAAAGTTTTTAAAATATATTGACTAATCAAGTGTTATTAACTAAAACTATTATTATTATATGAATTATTTTGAAAATAAATAAATAAATATGAAACATAAAATAACCTGAGATATCATATTTAATATCAAATTAAAAATTAAATAAACTTTATAATAATTTAGAATGGGAGATAACATCCAATTAGTTGTACCATCAACTTCGCAGAACCTGGCGAGGCAGCAATTTTGGACGACGTTAACTTGTTTGGGTTTGAGAGTGGGGGAAGTCAAACAGCAGGGTCAAGAATGAGGCACAGGTTTTGAAATGAAAACAAACCTCGAAAAGCTTGCAGCATGGTGCTGAGGCATTCAAGGGAGAGGAAATTAGCGGGATGACGAAAATCCTCAGAGGGGCAACGCCATGTCGGACATTAACTCCACCTGTCGGCGTTGGATGCCTCTCCGCCTTTGCGTGTTCTCAGTTTCGGACCACCAAAAACAAACACCGAACACTATCCATCTTCATCCAAGAAAGTATCTGGATTTTTCCAGAATTCAAAATAAACATATGAAATTATCTCTTTCCAATTTTACTGCTTTTATTAATTTTTTCCTATACTGACAAATATATTTATAAATCATTGTCATATCTTTATACTACTATTCTATCTCTTTTTAACAAAAATAAAATAAAAATAAAATTTAAAAATAAGTATTAATTATGCTACAAGAGACGTATAGTTCTGATAAAAACTTTTCATTAGAGTCATAATGACTAATGATATGAAAAATTTCTTATAATCCCCTTGATACTCTTGTGGTTTTGTCACCGTCATGATACATGACAGACGCTGGCTAGGAAAAAAATATATATATATATAAAATATAGGAGAGAGAAAAAATAATAAAATAATAATATAAGAATAATTTTATTATTCTAAAAAATAAAATAGAAATTCTATTATTTTGGGATTAATTTAATGACTTTATGGAGTGGAGGGGTATTATTCTCTTTTGTCTATCATTGTGAAAAAAATTATAAAATTTTTTATCTAAAGACATGTTTATAAAAATTATTGTCATTTGTTTAAATTAACACTAATATCTGCATTTTTTTAAGTTTTTTTTCTTTTGCAATTTTCTCTATTATTTTTTTTCCTCTCAAATGTCTTGTCTCTCTGTCTTTCTCAGGCTTACCCCACTGCCTTTCAAAACAAATTTTGCAGACTTGGCTGTCAGAACCCTGCACCCACCCATCCTTACCCTTCTGGCTCTATTCAACTCCGTTCCTGTCTCGCATGTCTGCCAAAGTCACCAAGGAAACAAAAATCAAGCGAACCCAATTTTAACAGGCTTGCTCTGCTACCCAAAACCAAACCGAGTTGTAATATCACAAGCCCCACTCTCAACCAAAGTTTTAAAAGAAAAATTCCGTCCTTGGTAGCTTCTCTCTGTTTGTCTGCTCTGTCGATGGACTTGTATCTGAAGCAATGGAGAAACCAGGATGAGTCAGTGGCAGAGGAACAGCATTCTGCAAAGATGCCAAAACTTGTTCTCGAACCTCATCAAAAGCCACAATCATCTGCCTCTGCTCTCCCTCTGTTTGTACCAGAACCCAACGCTAAAGTCAGCACCTTGTCAGCATTATCTGATTCAACCTCAGCTTCTCCCAGAGTTCCCCGTAAGATTTATATTCCTTTCTTGCTAGTAACTGTAGCTGCGAAGTCTGAAGCTTTTGATTAACTTCGCCGGTTAACTAGTTGCTTCCTTTACAAGTTTTGATTCAAGCTTGCGCCTTTCTTGTTCTGCATTTAACAGTTATTTGCCTATTTCATTTTCTCCTTTTACCCTTGTGGTTGTCAGGGATGGGGAATTATTTCAGCTTGGCTCAGTGGCAGGAGCTTGAGTTGCAGGCTTTGATTTTCAGGTACATGTTAGCCGGCGCTGCTGTGCCTCCTGAGCTTCTTCACCCAATCAAGAAAAGCCTTCTTCAATCCCCTTCCTATTTCCTGCAACACTACCCATCCTATGACCCTGCTTGTAAGTTTCTGGCTTTGTTCACCTTACTCTCGTTACCCGCTATTTTCTTTGCTCTCCTAAAAGGTTCTCCTTTTTATGTTGAACACAAATGCAACTTTTTGTCGTGAAAAAGAATCTCTTTTCTCTATTCTTCTTTTTGTAAAGTGAAATGAGATAAAGATGATCAGATTTTACGTTTTGCATTCTTGAGATTCCGTTTTGAATCAATCCACAGTGATTGGTTTTGAATGGTAAAGCTGCATGATGAGGGTGTTTGTTGCAGCAGCATTGCAATCAGGGTATTGGGGAAGGGTAGCCATGGATCCAGAGCCTGGCCGGTGCCGGAGAACTGACGGCAAAAAGTGGCGGTGCTCTAGGGACGTGGTTGCTGGCCAGAAGTACTGCGAGCGCCACATGCATCGCGGTCGAAATCGTTCAAGAAAGCCTGTGGAACTACCCACACCAAACACTCCCGGTGGCAGTGACTTCGGCGGCGGCGGAGGCTCTGCCGGCGCTCCGATATCCATGACTGCGCCGTCATTGGCAATGGCTTCGCTAAGTTCCCCTTTCGATCTCCATCTTGATCAAAGGTAATTCTTCGCGCTAAAATGACTAGTAATTGGGGAAGCCAACATCCAAACGTCTTAGATTTTACGATCTCTGTGTAATGGTTATATATGAAATTGTGCTTAAGAAAAGGGTTCTTGGCTATAAGTTGGTGGGACACCTTTGTTTTGTTTTGTAATTGTTATTTATTTCACTTGTCAACCTTAATTTGAATATCCCTTCATCGGTAGCATTCAGAAGGCAAGCATAGATTGGATTGATTCCCAAATGAATAACCAAATAGCGGCCAAAAAAGATTAAAAAGGAGAATAATGCAGAGTTGTTGATCTTATCCCTGAGATGCACAACAGTAGGGCCCTAATAGAGGCCTGGCTGGCCACCATGTCTCGTACGAGGGAAAAGAAAATTCAGCTTCAGATGCCAAAGAAACCAAACCCCCAACCCCAAGTCCCCATAAACAACATTTAAAAAATGGCGAGTTTGTCTTGTGCTGTCCTGCAATTATTCGTCTACTTCATGGAACTCCATTTCCCTGGTTGATATTTTGCTGGGTCCTCTGTAGCAGTTCCTTTGGGACCAATAATGAAAATAAGAGCCGTTTTGGAATCCCAGATGATGGGGGTAGTGGGGATGGCAGATTTGACGGTCATATCCTGCGACGGTTTTTTGGATGACTGGCCACAATCACTTCAAAAATCTGACATTGCCGAAGGGAATGCTAGTAACTCCAACTCGGTGACATGTCTGTATATGTCGACACCTGGGAATACGTCGTCCGTCGGATCTGTTGTGGAAACTATCCACTGGCTATGGAGAAAATCTGTGTCCAAGAGAGCAGCAGCAGATAAACTGGGCAGGAAGATGGAGTTCGGCTAATCAAGTGGCTTCCATGGGAGGACCTATTGCCGAGGCTCTGAGATCATCCGCTTCAACCTCTTCGCCAACTTGGTATTCTACGTCGCTTGCCTCGGGTTCTGCTTCTGATTAAGCGCGCTATTTAGCTGGAATTGTGGCTTCCCCTTGGAATGAACATGATCTCAGTTTTGAACAGGCCAGCAGAATGGGCATGATTCTTTGGTGTAAATACGTTTGATCCGGCTATCCTCAGTTTCGAGATTCCTAGTTAAATTGGAAAGGAAGAGTCATGCCACTACCTCTGTCTAGCAGCCATCCCGTTGGAACTCGTCTAATCACATGACAAATTGTTTAATGATACATGAACATTTTAGACCTTGGGTTTTTTCAATTCAACTTAATATATATTTTTTATTTTAAATGATGGAGACTGTAAAGCGCCATCAATATGCATATGAACATCACTGGTGGACCAAAAAGCATATTATATTTGGACTGACGCCTAGAAAGAGACGCACGCACCCCAAAAACAAAACCGGACCCATAACCATATTCAGTCAGGGGGCCAGCCAATTGGGCTAATCGCTTATCCCTCGTCACCACGCAATTATGCGGTGGGATCAAATTTTTATAATCAAGTCTCATAAAAGAGAAATAATTACCAAATCATTCTAATAACAATCTTAACAGTTTATAATGACAAGTTCTATAATAAAAATGATAATTTTTAAAACTTATTTTTTAATTATTTTACTTGTTTGGGATCTCATTGTAATTCTCCGTTCATTTATTCACAGTTGTTTGGCGATAAAGCTCTTCATGGTTGAGTTGGATCACCATCAAGCATGAGCAGATCATAACATGTAGGTCAAGCATAAAACTGCTTGTCGCTTGTACCGTCGTACCTGTACATCTGTTTCACCTCAACAGTACATTATGAATTGCTGGTCTTGACCAACAAAATTATTAAATTAAATCTCAAGAAACCGTGTACAAATTACAATACCCCGCAAATGTAAGTGGCAATCCCTGAGACGACATGTAGAAGATGCTCTATTACAAAAGCTTTGTAACTGGCATCGAATCCGACGTTAGTACTTTCCTGGCTTTGCATTTCCTCAAATGCTATGCCACTACCCATGTCATGTGCTAATACAAAAGCATGAAGTGCTATACATTATTTCTAACTTGGTGTTATTTCCCATTCTTTCTGCTTCATATTTTCCGTCGTGATCAAATCACTATATAGGTTGTGGGCTGGCTAGATGGTCCTAGAGTTATTACTGCATCTATCATGCCATGATGCCCTTGTCACCTGTTTATCCAGGAAAGCAGCAGGTTACATCTTGCATCACATTGATTCTGGTCCAGGTGGTTTTTCAGCTTCATCATCCACAAGGGCATATACCGCTGCTGTTCTAGAAGGTGCATACACTAGAAAGGAACGAGGCCGGTCATCGTACCACCCTTCCTGCATAATCATCCAACAAATTTTAAGGATACGCTTTTTTCCGCTACGGAAGAGTCAGTTGTAAGATCACATGCTCAAGAATGCAGCGCACAGATGCACAGTATGTGACACAGCCAAACAAAACACAACGGCACCCTTGCAAGTGCCCACACACAGATAAGTTTAGAGGAAGTTCCATACCGAAGAGAAGAACTCAGCAGTATGATCGAGCCTGTTGAAGCCTCCAAACAATGAATCATCTGAATCCAAGACAATCTGGAAAAAGAAAACCCATAATCCATTATAAAAAAACTGATAATAACTTGGGCATTCGGATAAAGCAAAACTTAGCTGGAAGAGATGCCACCAATATCATGGCCTATGAGATTGATACATAGAGCAAATGTTTGCAGTACTGATGAAGGATTTACATTTCCACTAACATAAAATTCAAATCCAGTTCGTGTTCTATGTTTCACTTGGGAGATGAGAATCTCAATTTCTCAGAATGTCTGAATATTATGAAGTTTTGAAATTTATTAGAAAGAATAGGACTCGTTGTTATCATTGTAGGGCTTCAAGTTCAAATTACTAATAAATTAAAATTAGAATAATTAGAACAACCATGTACTAGACAATCATATTTATTTTGGCGTGTACTCATTTATTTGGTTTTGATAATTTCTTTTTAATTTAACAAATTTCTCAGTATCTTAATTGAACGAACACCTAATTAATTTTTAATAATTAACAATGTTGAAGTTAACACATATTCTTCCCCTTCAATAACATCTTTTTACGGTTCTGACCTTGCTTGTAATAGATTTAGATTGTATAGATTTAATCTAGATGATCCATTTTCTAAGTTATTTTTTTCCATTTATTTTATCCTGCATTTATTTCTTTCAAATAAAAACAAGAAATAAAACTTAACATTAAAAAAGAGAAAAAAATATAAAAGCTTAACTTGTTAGAATTAAATATAAACCATCTAAATCTGCACTAGGAGAGAGCAAAAAGGAACCAGGTCACATTGTGACAAAACTTAACATTAAAAAAGAGAAAAAATATATAAAAGCTTAAATTGTTAGAATTAAATATAAACCATCTAAATCTGCACTAGGAGAGAGCAAAAAGGAACCAGGTCACATTGTGACCATACTATTATAACTACCATGAGGATCAGAGCCTCTCATTTCACGCTGGTAGTGTATTTTAGAAGTCGGAATGACTACTAGTGCCATTTCAGTCCAGCCAGTGCAGTACTACCTCCCAACATATTTATAAGAAACAAGTGATTGTTAAAATTTAACTATAATTTGTTTTTTAAAAATAGGCCTGGAGGTAGTAATACACACAGCCCACTGGCAAGATTTAGTATGGATAATTATGAAGCTTTTGTTCTATCCAAAAAACCGTAACGATAACAGCAATAAGAAAATGTTGTAATGACTTACCCTGTATTTCCCCGGTTTTAAGCAGCCAACTCTGTAATCTGAATAGCTGTTGGTCCAATGAAAATTGAAGACAAAAACGAGGTTTCCCCTTTCAAAGACTATCACCCTATCTCCTTCATTTTTACGCGAGATATGTTGATGCTCAGAAACCATGAACTGCGACGACAGTAAAACGAAGTTATCGTTGAGAAACAATATCATCCGACAGGCTTTGAAATAGAAAATATAATCTGATTTCACAAGACTTGACAAGAGGAATTAAACACTATGAGAGCCGTCACAAAGAACTTACATTATATCTTTCTTCTAGATGCTGCATGGCCTGATCAAATTCTTGCATCCCACGATATCGGAGATAGTCTGCATCCCCCTGGGTAACAAACCAAAAGGTATTTTTTCTCCATCTAAGAAATACTAAATATTTGCATCTTCGCAGAAGAAGAATATCAAACAAGTGGGGGTGCGTTGATATAAATGTCAAAGTGAAAGTGAATGAAGAGAGCAATTAAAGCATACGCTTTGTGAGTTTTACCCAAGAAAATTGTTCACCCGATCAGGTGCCAATGCATCAAAATGCATCGTCTTTTTAATAAACATCTTTTCCCCCTTTTTCATTCCATGTGTATATTTCTCCGACAACTCCAGTTAAATGTCATGAAATGTCGAATTTCTGCTTCAGTGGCTGATCCAGGAATCAACTGCTCCTCCAGTCCTAAATATAAGACCATTTTTGTAATGTAATTTCCGGTTCTAAATATAAGACCTTTTTTGGAGTGTAATTTATGCTTTACACTACAAAAAGGATCTTATATTTAGGACCAGAGGAATATTTTATCTCTTGCAGAGCAACTTCAGCAATGACATGCGATTTACAAGATATAAGTTTATATCACGTGTTTGTGAAAGAGCACCATTTTAATGCTCGCCTTTAGACATGTAAATATAATTAGGACAGTTAACACTATCAAACAAGCTCCACAAGATCAGAGCTTTACCATTTAACTGAAAATCATAAATAAAATGATGGAATATAAACAATAATGGCAAATTGTCATACAAATAAACCAGAACTTACTAGATCGAAAAGACGCCTGCACTTATCATAACTGAAGTTGTTCCCCTCCCTCGGGAAATCAATCCACTCTGAACAGAAAAAAGAAGGGAAACCATTAAATATTTTCTTCATAATCATCAAATCCTATGACTTCCTAAGCAATTTACAATTGGTCATAGTTGATCCCCTTCAAAAAGAATGACAAAAAGCAAGTCACCTGCACTTACCCGGATGGCCAAATTCATTTCCCATGAAATTTAAATATCCTTCACCACCGAGGCCCATGGTAATAAGCCTAATCATCTTGTGTAATGCTATTCCCCGATCTATAAGAGGAGTAGAAGGTCTGTCTAAAGCCATGAAGTCATACATATCCTGAAGGAACCCCCCGGGAAAACAAAAAAATTGAGCGTTCAATGTCATATGCTGTAGCAAAAACGCAAATATCCTCAATCTCACTGTGAGTGTGTGAACTATATCTCCCATTGTAAATCAACCAAAACGCAAATATCCTCAGTCTTACCAATATCCTATGACTAGATACAACTACGTAACTATATTCCTGAAAAAGCTACAAACCTTGTCCATCAACCAAAATGCAATTGTCTTGTCACCAACCAAGGCTTGGTCATGACTTTCAGCATACACCACACATTTTTCCAGCCATCTTCTGTTTTTGAGTGTGTGAACTATATCGCCCATTGTCCAGTATTCATCAGGCTTCCTACATAGAGAGGGGCATGACTGAATCAAACATGGCTGTGATGCGATGCTACTAATGAGCAGGTGAGAATGAATGACAATGGCCTATCTGTGGATTTGATAGGTTGCATAATAAGAAAATCAACTTCATGCCGATGATTCATAAATTCTTGTGAGTATAACTATGGCTGCTTTAAAAAAATTATACTGTGACATAGACTCAAGAAAAATGATGACACAATTACTTGAGAAGCTCAATCCACTTGTCTGCAACGGCCATGTGCAGGCGATAATCAAAGCCAACTCCACCATCTTGTGTAGGAAGGCAGAATGTTGGCATTCCACTGACCTGTAAACAGAAGGAAATTGTAAAGTCTGCTGACATTTTCGTCAAGTCATGTAGAAGAATATAACATCATATAATCTCGCTTCAAAATAGTGCGGACAACCAATTGTAAAACCTAAAAATCAATTATCAAATGAACAAAATTGAAAAGCGACGAAGATAAAAAACTAAATTTATTGGCTTGGCTATGCACATGATCGCAGTGATGATAAGGTCAACAGATAACAATCCGTCAACTCTTGTCACACAGTTCGAGTCTTTAATATATGTCCATGAAATATTTGGACTAAGACAACCAAATACCAAAGCAACCTAATCCAAGTTCCCCTGAGCTGTTAGCATCTAACACTTCGAACATGTAATGATAAAACATTGGGTAATAGCATGTAGAATCCCAAAACTAATTGTAATCCATATCTCCACATCAATAAGGAAGTAACTATCTTCTTGTTCTTAGCATAACTCCTCGATTAAATCAGATCATAACAACTGATAAGATAGCATACATCTTCCCCAATAGTAACAGCCTCTGGGTAGAGCCCATGAATGACATCATTAGCGAGCATCAGGTAAACCACAGCATCCACGTCAGTTGCATATCCAAAATACTCGTTGTAGTTCCCAGTAAAACCTACCTGTAAGAAACAAAACACAATTTTATTAGAAAATCAAAGAAGAAATAAAACGCAAGAGCCAAAGACAAAGCTTTTGCATATAAAACAGGACACCCTTTTCCTCCAGTAGAATATCTTTCATCAGTTTCCTAGCATAGCTTGTAATGAATCCTAGCTGAGAAAAAAACCATGAGCAGAAACGCAAAGGGAACTAAGAAGCCAGCCTATCCCAAAAAAGTTGAAGAGATAGGAACAGTACATAGGAAATGTTGATCTAAAGCTCTAGCATTATGCTTTCATTAAATGCAACACAACCTACCAACAAGGCTCATAGGCACAAAAACAATTTATATGTAAAAAGAATCAAGGAAAAAAAAACTATTATTCAAGATCAGAATTTACATAAAACACAAAAGCTTGTTCTAGATATCATATTTTGAACACTCTTGCAGAAGCAACAAAAGAATGAATTGAATTAGAAATCCAAAAGAAACACACCCCATCATGTAACATCATGGATGGCTCCCCATACCCACAAAAGGGGGTCCCTTATTTCCCCTAATTTAATGACCTGATAAGTCTTGATGACTTAATACTGATACATGGAAGCCGTAATGAAATAACAAGAAGCAGAAAGAGAGATAACAAACCCCCAAACCATGATGAGTGTACATCATTGACGTGACACCATCAAATCGAAACCCATCAAACTTGTACTCTTCAAGCCACCATCTTGCATTTGAGAGCAGATACCTCAATACCTACATAATGAGAAACAGCTGCTAATTATAGGAGATAGAAGAGAGAGTAGAAAATATTGCCATAATTATATCGCCGAGTTTGTAAAGACGATGCTTACTTCCCAGCTTCCATAGTTAAAAAGGCGAGAGTCCCACATCCAGTGATGACCCCGTGCTCCAGAATGGAAGTAATGACCATCGGTTCCATCAAACATGTTCAGCCCATCTAATGTATTATTTGATGCATGGCTACATTCATCAGATTAGAGAAAAAAATCAGGTCTAAGCAGGGGTTTAAAGACGCCATATCATTAGACCTTGCAGTTAATAGCCTTCATGTAATGATCATTTGAAGACAAAGGAGTGAATAAAAAATAAAAAGAAAAATAACAGTTCCCAGATATATGGCCAAACAAATATAAAAACAAAGATAATGAAAAATGATTACCTATGTACAATATCCATCAGAACATGAATGCCTAGTTCATGGGCCCTATCTATCAGAGACTTGAGTTCTTCTGGAGTGCCAAATCGGCTGCTAGGTGCAAAGAAATTTGTAACATGGTACCTACATGATGCAGAATAATGTTTTTTAAAAGTTTGCCACTGAAACTAGGATAAAAACACCTATGCACTGGGAAACATGAGAGGCAGAGAAGAACTGCTTGTCAGTGTATAATTGGAAGCAGTAGTAATTTAAAAAATTCCAGAGAGTACATCAACTTAGGATTCAGGAAGATTTACCCAAAGCTAGCATAATAAGAATGCTCCTGGATAGCCATAATCTGGACAGCATTATAGCCAAGCCTTTTAATGCGAGGCAAAACATCATCTCTAAAATTGACATATGTGTTGATTTTAGCCTCCTGTACCACAATGTTCATTGACAAAGTAATGTAAGATATAGAACTATAAATATACACTTTAGCCAAATTTTAGAGGTTTGTTCTCCAACAATATACAAGTTTTTTACCGTTTAAATAAGGCTAACATTATTTAATGAAAAAAAATGGATCAAATCTCCCCATGAAGGAATATCTAATAAACCAAAAAGGTTGTAGTAAATGCCTCGTTAAACATTGTAACTGATGCCCTTCACTTGGAATTTACTGAACAATGATGATTTCACTTTAGGATGATGGAAAAGAATCATTAAAGAGTGGGTGGGGAATCAAGACCTAGAATTCCATCATATCATTGATATCAACGGGAGAACCAAAACATACTTTTCCTTCACATTCTAGCATTCATGTTGGCCACTACACTTCAGCATATATGAAATCACTAACTTTTGTCAAAAGAAACCAAGGGTGGGAAAGGAAAAATCAAATTAGTGCTTATCACAGTTGAGAAAAGGAAAAGATGCCAACCGGACTACTCATTCCAACATGTGACTCGTATATTCTGAGTGATTTTGGTCTTTTTGGCTGTGGATGTTTAAAAACATATTTTTCCTGCAAAGAAGAGAACAAGAAAATCATTTTAGGAGAGACGCATGTGGCAAAATCCAATTATATTTGAGGGGAATGTTGAAGATAAACCTTAATAGAAGAGCCATATCTAAAGATGATAAGAAAAATGAAGTGTACATAAGCTCATGGCAATCTTAACTAAAGCTGCTTGGGTGAAATGAACAAATCCCATCAGTAGCCCAAGCACAAGCATATACAGAAAATTAACATACTATTCTGTAGTGTGCTGCCAAGCCTTGCCAAATGTTGCAATGTTGTAATAACTGAATTCATTTGATTGCCACTTCCTATTCTCTAAATATAACCTACATCAAATAGAGAACCTTACCTCTTCTGGAGGATCATAGTATATGCCATTATATGGAATTTCACCCGGAGCCTGTACAGAGAACTTGATCCAAGCGGGAATTGAGTCTTTGATGCCAGAGGGAGTATCCATGCGGATCTACATATTTATTGACAGAATGCAGAGTTTTAGTTCCAGTCAGAGAAATATTTAGATAAGTTTTGTATATGAGAGAAAAATGTTGGGAAGCACGTCAATTAAGTGCAAGGCCTCGCCCTAAAAGAAACAAGAATTTAAAAAAAAAAAACTGACCTTGACTCGAGAACCATGAGGAATTGGTGGCGAACCGTCCACATTGTTGGGTAGAAATATCTCCCAGACGCCAAATTCATTCTGTTTAGACAGAACCAGAACAGTTAAAAACCCATAATAGTGCATAACACCAGTTGCACTGAAAATTTGACCGAGGGTATCCTGAGTAGAGTTGCCGGTAATATTTGTCAAGATCACTTCTATTGTTACATGGCAATTATTCATTTTCGAAAAAGACATTCTGTCCATCTAATAACATTATTTTTGGAAAAAATAGTTTTGTACATAAATATAAATCACATTCCCTACAAGCACCATCACCCTCATTGAAGGTCGGGACCACAAATAGAGTTCAGCATATGAGAATTACAATGGGAGCTCACATAAAGAAAGTGACGAGATCTACAATCCCAAAGAATATTACATAAGATTGTGACCCTACTCCTTCAAGTATATAAATATATATTATACTCTCTTGCCAATCCTGTCAGTTGACTACCTTCCTTTGCTCCTCTGTTTTTCTTTTTTATTTGATTCTTAACCTTTGTACATTCTTTTGGACCATAAGCCCCCCCCTTCCTGCTCTTTACCCATTCCTTATTGTGTCCTTATGTGTGTTTTGGTGGCAGCAGTGGGTTGCCTCTCTTCAGTCTTCAAAAGCAATACTAAGAGTTTTAATGCATTCCATCCCTTTAGAACGGTTAAGAAACACAATGCAAACTTGATTTTACACCAGAAGACTGAGTAGCAACAGAAAAGGGGGAAGGCGGATGCATATAAGCTATAATATAGGTCAAAAGGATCGGAGAAGTGAAGGACGAAGTCAAAACCACCAAATAATTAACAATGTAAAAGCTAGCATCTCTACAAGAAGCATCCTCAACGTCGTACTTTAGCGAAAATCGAAGATAGCATACCCGAGTCATTACATCTGCATTTGGATTCCAATTGTTGAAGTCTCCAATTAATGCTGCTGACTGAAAAGGCAACGAAAAATAGCCATGTCGGTTCACAGGAGGAATTAAAACCGATTCATAAAGAAAAGAGATTGAAACTATGTTTCTACACATGAAGTGATGACAGGAGGGGAGGGGGGAAGGATGGTGAGGAAGGAAGCAAGAGGCCACTGCTTTAAAATGTATGCCAAAGATAAATCTTCAAATCGTTGTGAACTTATTATCTACCTTGGGCTATTTTAATATATGAACAACTAATCATTATTTGACATTAACCATTAGTACAGCAAACTCTCTCACTCCTTCTAGTACGTAGTCTAAATCAATTTTTGTGAAAAAGGAAAAGGCTCATAGTTGTAACATAGATACTTATCAATAGTGCTCTAAGTAGACAGAGCAGAATCTCAATACAACTGACTATGCAGTCCTGTAAAAAATTTTGGTAAAAGAATAGAAATTGCAAACAAATTGAAATTTAAAGAAAAGACACAATCGATGTCAATATCAAGAACTAAGATAAAGTATACCTTAGCTCCTGGCGCCCATTCTCTATAAGTAATGCCAGTGGCGCTGCAAAAACAGTTTAGAGTTATTAGAAACATAAAAAGATTCAAACCTCAGAAAGCATAACTTCCTCATGCAGGGGAGGTTAAAGAAAAGAAAATTATTACAATTCTCTTAGATTTTCATGTAAACTAGATTTGCAACAAATGGATTATGTATTTTGGAATGAGGGTTTAATTTTTGGGAATCTGAAAATTCTTGAGCTGGATGCTCAGGTCTTTAACATATCCTATTTCTAGCTATCTTATATACAGCACCATTTGGATTAAATGTACTTAAGTTGCAAGATTCTTTTGTCCTAGTAGGGTTAGGTTTATTTGAATCATCTGTAAATAGGAGACCTGTATCTCAAGGTTTTCAGTCCCATCTGGAGTTTCATGTTGAATTTGTTAAATGGTTCCTTCAGACTCTGTTCAACCATGTTGGATTAACTTCACTTGATTGATTTAGTTTCTGACGCTTACAAATCCTTAGATTAAAGGCTAAGGACTTTGCTGAATAGCAATTAAAGTAAGGCTGCACGAGATTACAAAGCAAACAATATTGTGTATTTCAACAACATTTCAAAAGTACGACAGAGTTATCCAGTAGAACAAAACTAAGACCCCAAACAAAGATATGCGCTTCCGCTGTAATAAAAAATGCCATTATATAACATCCATAATTACATTCGTCAAGCTCAAATTGTGCTCCTAACACACTGATCTTTGGAAAGTTGTAAAGCAAAAGTACGACAAAGATGATAAATTTATCTCTTTTTCATGCCATATTGTCATGGTCATAAGGATGACAAACATCAAAAACAGTTTAAACCTACATCGCATTCCACTCCCCACCAACAAAATTAAAAAAATAAAAGAAACGAGTATTGCCGGTTCCATTTATTAGACACCTAAAGCTATCAGGGTCTTCTCACAGGGAATATTCATCAGATTCCAGAAAGTTGGGCTAAGCTATAAATATCGCATTTAAAAAAAAAAGATAAAAGATACTCCTGTGGATTAATTAATTATATTAACCATGGACTAGGAGTTTGCATGTGACACATACAACAAATTTATTCTTATTACGAACGTGATATTCAGTATCTTCATAAACAGAAAAGATAGATATATACATCATGAGCATCAACACGTAAAAAGTAGGGGTAAAACAACACCTGCGTGTAAAACCCAATTTTTCATAGCCGCGAGAAAATGCTTCCAAACCACCTTCATGCTTCTCAATTTCCTCACGCAATCTTTTGTACTGTCCATAACTGTAATGAGGCAAAAAATGCATTTAACCAAAATCAAGGTCTGTTTCACAGTTTAATAAACATCAGAAGCCCAGAAGCATAACAGATAAGAGTTTGAGAAGCAAAAACAAACGAGCAATATATCAATCAACAATAGAAAAGACTATAAGCAGCGTACGATATGTTTTTGTTTTATAAAAGAATGGCAAGGTCATCATAAAGTCAAATTACTTTTAGATATAATTGAATAAAAAGATTAATTAAGACACAGGAAATGCCGCCGTTATTTTTTCTGTTTAGTTACATCAGAACAATTTAAACCCCGCTATCTTGCCTTTATTAATGATATCCTTGCAAGGTTCCCAAGATCAATTGTTTTTTTTAACCCATTTCTAATTTTCATAATTTTAAGGTGCAAGTGGCCTAAACTTTCTCATGCGGACTAATGGAATATTCTTTAAACGAATCATCAAATTAAATCTCTTCTTTCAGTAGCTTAGTAGTAGTTCAGCTATACAGCTAAGTTGAAAATAAAAGGACATAAACACATTTGGATTGACTTAAAAGTAACTTTGTGTTGTATAAGATAAGTATATAAAAAGAATTTTATCTCAAATTGCGTAAAAGCACTTCTTTTAAGTGCTTATAGGGTTTCTAAAATTTCCACAAAAAAAGAAAGAAAGAAATATGCATAAACTGAATACGGAAAAGTAAGGTATCCTCATGTTTATTCTAAAAGACGAAAATCAACTTAGTTTGAAGCATTGATAATGCCTTCCAGCTACCAGAAACAGCCCTAAATATGAGCTCCAGGTTGTCCAGTTCTATTTTCATACCATAACAAGGAATTTCTAACCCCACTATAAGAACCTTTAGCAGTTATTTGAGCTTCCCAAGTTCTCCAAGACTAAGTCTATCCTGAAGTACATGGAATTATTTCGCTCATTTAAAACTATAAGATGCTTAAGGTAAGAAGTCAACTCACCGGAAGTCAAGATGCCCACGATAACCTAGCAAAGATGGATCAATTTCATATATCCTCTGTCCGGTGCCTGGTGGGGGAATGATCTTAGGTTTAGCTTCATCTCCTCCTATTTTTACTTCCTCTTTTGTAGAAATTGATGTCTTTGCTGGAGCACTGGCATCTACATCCTCAAGTGACGAAGGAACAGAACCTAGTCCATCCTCAACCTCTCTGAAACCACTAGTTACTTCATCATCCTTAAACTTGCTATCGTCTTTCATGGTTAGATCCTCTAAGTTTTCAGGAGCCTGAAATATACAAGTCAATGCGCTCTGAGATTGCTAAGGATGAATATACAAACGGCATAAACAAAAATACAACTACATTAACATTTGTAAGATTGCTACCAGTGAAAATATTTAAAAAAACGTAGGAAAACAAAAAGTAATGCTCACACTTAGCAGCCAAGAATTTGTAAGTGGCTGTAACTTATGGTCCGTAAGAAAATATATAGCGTCAAGCATGCTTAGGCGATAAGTTCCATTCATTCACCAAATATTTATGCTACTATTATGCACTATCTGTTGACAGTCTTATTCTCATATTAATACTCTCAAAATTGTTCAGCATACAAAGGATTTCAAGCAGCAGTCTACTTTTGACATTTCTAGATTCCACATGTAAGATGCAGTTTCTTTCCTTTAATCCTCTTTACTCTCTGTCTCCAAGTCATTTCCTTAAAACCAACTTACAACTAAAAAGTGCTGGTTTCTTAGGATTAAGCAACAGTTTACTTGTAACACTTTTTAATATTAAGACAACAAGACCATAACCCCCCTGAGAAAAAAGGAGTGTAAACCACATAATAAGCAGGTTAAATACCATAACAATAAGCCTCATCCCACTAGTTGAGATGGCTACGTAACACTACACTAATGTGCTCTACCAACAACCTAGTCTCAGATATACACATCAAGTGTTTTCAACCTTATATATGAAGTATTTATATAAAAATATAAATTACACAAGAGTTCCACATGGAAATGGATAGAAATACCTGCGAATCTTGTGATGTTATTTCAGTAGTTTCAAGTTGATCTGTCAGAGTTGAAGCATCATCTTGACCTCCAGGTGCAAGAACTTTATCAGATGCAGCAATGGCAGAAGATGAGGAGTCAGAATCATGGGAAAATTTTCCAACCAGGGTCTTCCCTACAAGAAATCATCAATGCATCAGTGAGGTGTTTTCAACCTTACGATGAGGAATTAGTTTTGCATGTAACTAAATCTTTTTATGTTCATATTCTAAGCAGAAACACATCAACCCTCACGTTCGCTATTTCCAGAAAGTTATCATATTCATGTCTTTGCAATTCAAAATGATCAACCATTAAAAATTCACAGCCAGGTCATAGAACAACCAACTAAGTAATTAAGAAATTCTCTAGTCAAGCAAAGAAAGGAAATAGACTTGAAAACAATCCTTACAAGAGTTTAGATTCTCTTTTATATTCTACCCAAACATTGGATAGTAAAGAAAAAAAATTCAGCAAAATACATAGAACAAAATTTTGAGAACAATATCATCAAAAGTATGTCAATACAGTTATTGTTAATAGTTTCCAAGAAGCTGTGCTGGTAAGGTCAAGTGAATTTCCTCTAGCTGGTTTTCCATTAGCAAACATTCTGATTTAATGAAGAACTGAAACCATCCTGCTTGAACAGGAAAAAAATAAAATGAAAAAATGAAAAATAAGGGGCGACTGTATGTAACTGCTCTAAACTATAGCCTAACCGCAACTTTGATACATGAACATTAAAACATGACTCTTTATTCCCTCTTCACTATCAAAAAAAATGAGAAAATATAAACTAAATCGAACATCTAGAACGACACAGACACAGAGCATCATGTGTGACGGTCAAATGATTTTTTGACATTAGCTTTAACTGCTATGGTAACATTTTCCTTTTTATGTATTTAAAAGCATTAGTGTACTAAAACCCTAAGTAGACTATATAATTCAGGGGCCACTTGCAGTTTTTGCCTAAAATATGGCACGGATTGTTGCTTTATACTGTTTATTCTTTCTTCATTCCTTTCCGTCCGCATGAATCCTATCAGCTTTAAGCCTCGGCTGAAGAGAGTAGAGACAAGCTAAAAGCTGCGATATTTCCTTTCAGTCTGATACACATACAGTAAATATAATTAATCCACTCAAGGTTGAAGTATACAGAACCAAGCTTTATCTCACCCGCCTTTAATAATCACAAATCGGATGCTTACAAGGAAGTACCAGAGAGTTGGAGCAAGTCATAAACAGAGAAAGAAAGCAAGATAAAATTCATATCTCAAGACAAACTTTAAGCAGACAGTTCAGCATCTACACAGATACAAAACTTCACAGCCAAATGTTCCCCAAAATAGTGCCAGTGAGATACGGTTCGCATACATGGGCTTCGTATCTTAGAAGAAGGTGCCTGAAGGAGCGTGGCTTTTAACTACGCAAACAGCAATGGGAATTGATTCGATTATCTGGACAGGAAAAAAAATCTCTGAACCTAGATTTTCCTAAGGACACAAATCCAAAGCTCTAAGGAACTCTATGGACCTAGACAAAAGTATATGTGATGAACCAACGGAAAACTCGAAGAAACATATTTTGTCTACACTGATCCTGAAAAGACTGCATTATGGTCCATCTCTGTTGCTGATAAACTGCTACATTTCAAGTATTAAATGAACCATTGTCGGTTCTGGGGACATTAACCGAGTCAATTTTAAAGCAAACACTGGCTATAACTCTGACAATGAATTGAAATAGCAGAAGCAATGGAGTGAAGATGAGATTGGCGTACTACGAGAAATGGAGTCCATGTTCTGGAAGAAGGAGAGAGTAACAGTCCTGCGATCACCATGGAAGCTGGATTGCGAGGACTTATACATTGAAGGAACAGCCGGAAATCTTAGCCCCGGTAAAGTGTAAACCATTGTTGTGATTTTATCACTAGCTGAACTTTGAGAAGGAAGAGTAATAGAGGTGCGATACAGATCTCGGTTCGAACTGTGATATGCGTAGTGATGAGTTCAGGTGTTTGTTTGAGAGAACCGCGGCAAGTCCCAAGCGTATCGGGGAGAGCATTACCAGACTATAAAAAATCAGAGATACATGAATTGGAGTGCGGAAAAGGTGGCGCTATCCGCCAATTTAACCGCGAACGGAGCAGGCTACGTGTGATGAAGATTGAGCTTTCAGGGCCCACCCCTTCCCGCAGTGGGCTCAAGGTCAAGGATATGAAATAAACGGCTCTGCTCGCGTGCCTTCATTTCGCGGTGGGCGTTTTCCTTTTTTGGGTTAGTGTTGCCACTTGCCTTAAACTTGATCTGACGGTTTTAACACGAAATGAAGCCTCGGGAAAGTTTTCTTAATTGAAAGGTGCTTTACTTCTGTTTAAGTTGCAGCTCATGAATACATAATTATATACCTTCCTTGTCTAAAGTGCCCTTTTTTTTTTGGCCTGATCGTCTAAGTTCGCTTTTGCGAGTTCGTTTGCCGAGAGGAGCATTTATTTATATAGAATTCTTTCAATTTTCGAAAACAAAATATCAAAACATTCTAGGCAGAGACTCCATTTCGCAATTCAAAATTAATGATAAAATATCATGATTAATTGTCAGTGCTGATCCCCTCGAATTATTTCGGTGATCCGAGATCAATGCCGATTAGATTGAATGTTGATTTTTCTTTTTTAGCATGATGACGACGACGACGATTATTATTATTATTATGCCATATATGACAGCAAGAAACCTTGTTAATTTTTCATGCCTGAAACAACGCCAGAAATTTTGATGAGAACGGGAAAGAATCAAGATTTATGACAGATATTAAGGGGGTATTTGAATAAAACCAAACTATGATTTGAAAAATAGCATCTGGAAAATAAATTCTGGAGAGAATAGATTATGAGAAAAATAGATTTTCTAAAAAATTGATTCTGATAAAGTGAGAGTGTCTGGATAGTTATTGTCAGAAACACTTTTCATATGTACACATTACTAAAAAAGACATACAAATATGATAATTACATAAAAGATAGATTTTATAATATATTTTAATTTGAAGGAATGAAATTGTTAATAATATATTTTTTTACCAATATAATTAATAATATATAAAAAATATAATTAATAAATAATTAATATATGCATATATATTTATAAAAAAAGATTAAATATGTTTATAGAAAAATGAATAAAAAAGTGCTGTAATAATTAAGATGTTGCATCGATATGAAGCACTTATAATAAGTTATTTTTTTAACTACATATTACCAGTCTGGTTGAAGCTTTCCTTTAATAAAAGTTTAAGACCCTATCTACATATTAACTCTCCAATTAAGTTTTACATTAATGACCGGAATAATAATATTACACTTAAGACCAATATTAACTCTCTAATTAGGTCCTACATTAAAAACCGAAATAATAAATTTGTTTTTTTTTTGCCAACATAATAAACAATGTATAAAAACATATATTAATTAATATACCCAGTTCTAAATGTAACAGTTAGTTGACTAATTTGAGTAAATTAAAAAAATAAATTAAGTTAGTTATTTGTAATAAATAGGTGTTACCTTTTCTACAATATCCCTATTAATCAAGTTTATTAGTTATAACTTAAAAAACGATAGACAAATATGAGAAATAAAGTATATTGAAGTTTTATATTTAAGACCAAATAAAAATCAAATGAGATCTTATATTAAAGATAGGATGTAGTAATTGTTAATGTGCGTATATATAATTATAAAATATAAGACTATATTTTTAGAAAAATAAATAATTGTTTTCAACCAAAAAAAAATTACTGTAGGGGGTGAGGGGAGAACCGTTCAAAAAGCACAAATTTTTTGCTTATTACAAAACTTTGGTTTTGACAGGCAAACCATGGCTTTATCATAAAACCATGATTTCAAAAAATTAATAAGTGTCTGGGTAATTCTCTTCTCAAGGTTTGAGCAATCATCCAAATACCCTCTAAAACTGTAATGGTACTGTAATACAGCCAAATAAAAGGCGCATGTACGTATAATTTCTAAGCTTTTGTTTGTGACAATATTGTGATATATTTTGAATAAAAAAAAGCACAAAGAATAAATTTTACTTTGACTAAAAATTCTAACTTTTTGTTTGTTTCAAAGTTCAAACAACATAAAATATACTTTGAGGCCTCCTCTTAGTCCCAAACAACTTGTACGAAATAAAAGAAGCATTAAAAAAAAAAATATATCGCCTATGAAAAGGCGAAAAAATTGGCTGAAATATGAATGATTGAACATTATACGTATCTGGCCACCACGCTTTTGAAGGCATTATTGATTCAATTAGAAGATTTTTACACAGACATTAGAAAACAGGGATGCTGATTCATCGGCCGATTCTTATCTCCTTTGACAGCTCACCTTTTTGTCGGGGGGGATTGGGCTCTGGTATCCTGTGCGGCTTGATCTTTTCTGGTACAGTTGCCTCAGGAAATGAGATGATCCTTATTCATTTGAAAAAGAAAAATCCTAATCAAGGCATGGATATTTTCTTCCTTGGAGGAGAACGCAGACATTGCGTCTTTCTCTCGACTCCTTTTAGCGGAATCAGTGACAAATACCGACCACGCCAGCGGAGGCATCTGGAGATGGAATATGCCATTACAAATTCTAGTGGACTATCAACCTCAGCCATCATTTTCCGTTTTCCTCTTCTAGAAAATCAGATCACTATTCCTACTTCAAATATGGTCCCTTAAAGGAAACTTTGGTCAACCATCACTCAATTACTTATCAAGAAAAACTAAAGCTTAAGCGTAGCCTGAGAGGTGGATGGTGATCCTGCTATGGCTTTTGCGAGAAAGTACCTTATGAAAGGTAAAAATGCGGGGTTCATAACAAATTACAAATCGGCATATAACTGGAACAGGTTAACCTCAAAACAATCCATTTCGCAGAAGAGATTATGCTTCACCGTCCAATTTCAGTTTGCCGCCACTGTGCGGACTTCCGAACCTCTCTAAAATTATCTTATGCGGAGAGAGAAAAGATTTTCACATGAATAACACAAAAGCGCAATTTAAATACTACCTCAAATCCTAAATATAATAGTTAGTTGATTAATTTGAGAAGACTAAAAAAATAAAAAATTAGTTATTTATAATAAATAAATATTATTTTTTCTAAAATATTTTTGCTAATTAAGTATATTGACTAGAACTATCATTGTTAAAACAACTATTTTAGAAAAAAATATATAAATATAAAAAACAAAATAGATTAAGGTCTTGTACTAAGGACTAAAATAAAAATCCAATAAGGCATTATATTAAAGACCAGATGTAGTATAAGATTATATGAATCAACCTCACATTTAAGCATGATTGAGGAGTTGTTACACAAACTTGTGAATTCTAGAATTCTTCGTAACCTTCACAACGGAGAAGATAAATTATAAAACGGTCACAAGTTACAACACATAATTTGCATTACAGTCAAGATTATTTCGGCTTACTGTTTTTTCTTACTGGGCATCTGGCCATGAGTTTCAATAACCGAGCACAACAACAACTGCAGCTACCGGTCTATCTTCAGTTACCAAGCATAACAACCAGGCATAAATTAGTAATCATACTGTATTTTGACGATGGGTTGGAGGGTGAAAGAACGAAACTACTTCGCCAAAACATCTGTGTCACAAATTATCTTCTTTGAAGGAAGAACAATGGCAGCTACCGGTCTCTCTTCAAATCCACCACCTTCATCAATAATCAGCCTCAAGCCATTTGTATGGAGTTTTGCATGATGACCACTGACCACGGCGGTTGGACTTGAACTTAGTTCCTACGAGAAAACAAGCTAATTAGAATGAATTTGAGGTAGCTAAAACACCAAGTTCACAGAAACAAAGATGAAAACTAAAAAAGAATGACTTCTAACGAAATTGCACCTAGACAACATCGGGTTTGTGTAGTACCAACAAAAAAATATTTCGACCAAAGAAGCAACAAGCTATCAATCACCTCTTGTATATTGCACACTGTCTCCCGCTGAGAGGCACTACCTTGGGCACCCGAGTATCCCGAGATTTCAAAAGCTCTAATTGCTCGTTCACACTTTCCGTTTTTCCAGACCAGCATGAACAGCAATCAACTAGCAGCTTTTGAATCCATCATCAGTCTCGACACATACTTCATCCTAGTACAAATGATCCAGAGTTTCAGTAGTTATCTTAATATACATCAATTTGCAATCTCAATAAGGAACACACTTCCAAAAAGCAGGTGAACAACTTGTAAGCTAAGTCAAATGACGAGGAAATTGTCTTGTGACGGACAGAAAGGCAGAGAAGTCCCACCTCTTCATGGACCCAGACTAAATCAGCAAGAAACTTCTTATGCCCAGCAGGAACTGCTTTAATCAAATCTGTACATAATGATAGTCTTTCAATCTAAGGAATAGAACAAAGCAATGTGCATTTTCAAGAAAAGGACCAGTAACAATTAATAAATTTTAGCACTAATAAGTAACTACTCTTCCGCATTACACGAGTCACTGTACTTGCACAATGTGGCTTGTCACACGCACACTTATTGAGCGTGGAAATATTGATTGATTGAATTGCCATAAAAAGAGCTACGAATCAATATCAAGTTATACAAACACCGTTGACGTAACTGGTAAAAAGGATCGAAAACTACGTAATGCCATCAGCTCAAAACAATCAAATATCTTCACTGGCCTCGAGCTCTTTCCAGGCATCGGGCGGCGGAGGCAGAAGACCTAAAAAGGCAGCGAAGGGGAAGTCATGGTTGCCAGAGAGAGAGACGTGTTTCTGATTGGGGTATCTAGAGGGCAATTGAATAAGGAAATCAATCACTTGACGAGTATCGGGACCGCGGTCGCAGTAATCACCCAAGAGGATAATGATGGCAGATTGAAATAGCGAAGGATCGATTTCCTTTCCGAGGTTAGACCACAAGTTTTGGAGCTTGGTGATGTGACCATGGGTGTCACCTATGCAGCAGACCACCCTGGCCATTGCTTTCAGTAGACGCGATCAATTACTCGCCGGTTTCCATTTCAATGGCGCATCAGAACCGTTGCATAATTATATTATATTATATTATAATAATTTATTAACCAGTG